GCCTCGTGTAAAGAGAGTGCCACGCTCTTTGCACGTTAAGAACCCTTGCAACAACTCTTTGAGGTGTCCGTAGGTGACCTGTTGCAAGGCTAAATTTCTGTCCCTATCCAATATACCCTCATTTCCCGTGGCAGTCTAAATTTCTCCGACCTCAACCCCAGACGCCTCTATTACAGAACCTACCTATTGTATTTATTGTTAATTTGTTCTCGTCCTGAATATGCATGAAATATTTGCCACTGGACGTTAAGCAACCAACAATCAATCAATTATAGGGTTTTTCAGGGGGCCCGGGTCCCCCCTTTTGTGAGAAAAATTTGGTTGATTATATAGGGAATCACTGAAGCATGACTCGGAGCAACATACGCTGTAAACGTCTCGGAGCGGCTATCGACTCGAGAGGTTTATGATCGCTGTCCACATTAACAATTCGTCCGTAGGTGTACTGGTGAAATCGCTCTAAGCCAAATACTACGGCTAACATCTCTTTTTTCAATTTGAGCGTAAAGGGTCTCAACATCCGTAAGTGCGCTGCTTGCAAACGTTATCGGTTGTCCATTTTGCAATAAACTTGCTCCTAGTCCTGTTAACGAAGCGTCACACCGAAGCGTCAATTCTTCTTTCGGATCATAGTATCTAAGAACTGGACTAGCGCATACTAGTTTTTTAATCTCGGATACCGCTCTATCATGTATATCTAACCAGCACCATTCTGCGTTTTGTACTGTCAGTTTTCGCAACGGCTCGCATAAATCGCTCAACTTTGGCAAGAACTTACTCAAATATGTCACGAAACCTACAAATTTCTTGACGGCGGACACGTCGGTCGGGATAGGCATTTTCGTTACGGCTTTCACTTTGTCGGGATCGGCTCGAACTCCTGCATTTGTCAAAAGGTGTCCTACGAATCTTACCTCATTTTGCTTAAACTTTAACTTGTCACTATTTAGTTTGAGGTTCTTATCTCTGCATCGATCCATTAGAGCTCTGAAATTGCGGTCATGGTCGCGAGAAGCTGCTTCATCGGTTTCGCCTTCATCGAAAATCAAAATATCATCACGAACGCAACGCACACCGTTTAATCCTTCCATATTCTGATTTTGCCTACGTTGGAATTCTTCCGGCGCGGAATTTAGTCCAAAAGGCATTCTAAGCCATCGAAATCGTCCATGCGGAGTGTTAAATGTAGTTAACATCGAGCTATCATTGTCAAATTTCACATGCCAAAATCCGTTTCGCGCATCGGCAACGGAAAATATCCTAGTTTTATTCAAATCTGGCAATAACTCCTCTATAGTCGGCATCGGGTAGTGACTGCGCTTAATAGCCTTATTCAAATCGCGCGGGTCTAAGCAAATTCTCAACTTGTTAGGTTTTTCGACGATCACGAGATTGTTCTCCCACGGAGTTGGCTCAGTAACCGGTGTAATCATTTCTTTGTCGGTTAAACGTTCTAATTCAGTTTTCAGCTTTTCGCGCAACAGGTATCTTGCGTGGTGGGTGCACGACTGGTCTAACAGTTTCATCTATTTCGAGACGGTATGTTCCTGGTAAACAGCCTGTTCCGTCAAACACGTCCTTGTATTGCCTAAATACTGATTTTTCGGATAAACTTATCTCACTGGTATCTAATGCCTGTATATTGTCATAATTTATTGTTACCAAATTCATGTGTTGAATAGTCTGATTACCCAAAATGGGTGTTGTGTTTTCCTTTACAACAATAAATGTCTCGTCGAAAATTTTGCCATTCTTAGCATTTACCAATTTCAATGTTGTCTTTTCAAGAGGTCTTATTTCAGATTTGTCGTATGTCGTTAAGACTATCAGTATGAACTACTTGAATCTGAAAACAGGGTAATAAAAAAAAATCCAATCAAATGTAGAGCATTAGGCGGGAATCTAATCATTTTCAGACCATTAATGAACGGCAGTGGCGTACCCGCATCGGCTCAATTGACTTTCGTAGGATTTTATAATGAACCGTCGGCTATTTCTTGACTTTGTGAAGACAATGATGATAATGTCAAATAATATTTGTATGCCCCACCTACGATAGTAGAGGGGCATTATGTTTTCTGGTCTGTGCGTTCGTCCGTTCGTTTGTCTGTCCCGCTCTAGATTAAAGTTTTTGGTCAAGGTAGTTTTTGATGAAGTTGAAGTCCAATCAACTTGAAACTAAGTATACATGTTCCCTATGATATGATATTTCTAATTTTAATGCCAAATTAGAGTTTTTACCCCAATTTCACGGTCCACTTTACATAGCAAATTATAGTAGGAGTGAGGCATCCGTGTACTACGGACACATTCTTGTTTAAATTGAATTAATGTATTAGGAAGAAAAATTGAATTAATGTATAAGTAAGAAAAATAGAAACTAAAAGAATAAAATTATACTGAATTTGATGTTAAAAACTCGAGCGTGAAAGATAAATTCTTTCTAAATTCGGAACAGAAACAATCATTTTATAACATCTAAAACGACTATCAATAAAGTTTGAGTGTATACACAATTTAAAGTAATACGATAAAATACGTTTAAAACCCATGAGATGCATTTCGTAAATATATATCCATTCAGAACTCTGGATTCATTGCTTTCTACGTCTATTTCAGGTCTTCATATTTTGGTTAAAATGAAAATTAAGTGTTATGTATGATGAATTAATTTATTTGAATTAATGATGTGTTATGTAAATGAATACATAATCTATAATTATAATTATTATTTAAAAGGAAAAATATTCTGATCCCCAATTTGATAAACAAAAATATTATGGTCAAGCAGATGAAAAAAAAAAATTCTGACTCTGACAAAAAAAACCAACTTCCCCCATGAAGTTAAATGGTCGGTCCCTAATACAATATAACAATGATGTTCCTTTTGACATGTTTGGTGATGGTGTAGATGTAACAGGTTGTCTTATATGAGTACTTGGTGTGGTTGCTCATGTTGATGCAGGCCGGTTTAACATTCTAGCAACTGGTACTTGACATCTGCGGGCAGATTGAACTGGAGGTGTCTCACTCATATGCACTGCTGCTGTGGTTGTCTGCCGTATTGGGGTGGAACTATATGGAGCAGTTTCCATACTAGTACTGTCATCATCATTATCATTCAGAACTTGATTTACTGATAAGTGTCGAGTCATTGTATTCCCTACCTGAAAGGAGGTGATTGTATGTCATCTTGTAATAAAATTAGAATTAATTAGCTCTCAAACGATTTTATTAAATGTCGGAATAACGGAACATGTACATTTACACTAGACATAAGTCACAATTAATTTTTGTACGTTACACAGGTAATTTAAAATAAATTTGTCGCTATTAGTATGAAGAGGTGCAGTTATACGGTTTCTACATGAATTCAATGTATTATCCGAAGTATTAAACTACGGACGTGATTATTTTCCGCTAGTGAGGATGAGCTTTACACATTAATAATAAATGCACGACGGGTAGAAATCAACAAATAACTGATATGAACTTCGATCAGGTGTGGTCTCGAATCATTGGTGTTGTAACGTGTAACGGGCGATCAATGGATCCGTATCTGAATAAATCAGGATTTCAAGTGTTCAACTCAAATTTGCACCACAACAAGTTGTCCTATTTAAAACAATTAACACACCCTTAAATGAATTCACAATGTCAAATATATACGCTACACAATGCACATAAATTAAATTACAAGGTGAAGTTCCTCATTCACAATGTATAAACACAATGTCTTATAACAGAATATATATACACAATGTCACTATGCAATCACTATGCAACATGTATTAGGCCTGATTATTCACAATGTCACTAATATATCACTATGCAACATGCATCAGACACTTTATAACACAATGTCACCAACAGATTACTATGCAACATGCATCAGATAAATATCACACAAAACGTATGAACACATTAGCACATATATACAACATCTATTAACAATATCCACCAATTTGTAATATCACCTTATGAATGTTTAATTAACCACAATAACACAATGACACAATGACACTTGCACAATGCTTCAATGCACAAGGAATTTATATGAACACAGCTCAACTCACACACACTAATTATCACTATGAATCAGAACGAAATGAATATATTCCAAACTGGTAAGATTAAACACAGTGCACTTTCACTTATACACTTCCACAATATAACAACTTGCAACACCAGCAAGTATACACCTTGTATTCTCACTAATACACTTCCACAATACAACAACTTGCAACACCAGCAAGTATACACCTTGTACTTTCACTGTACAATAACTTATTATATAAGTTCACTTTATAACACAATCACTATTCCAAATATTCACATATAAATCCAAACACTATTTATATCCTTTGGAATCACTAAATTCACTCTACTTACCAGTTAGAATATATAATCCTTGAAGTTTACCCTTCAATGGTCCACATAAAACTGACAGAGTTTCTCTGTCTTGAGCTGGTTTATATACTACCATCTGGATCAGTCCATTATACTTAAAGGGGTGAAAATCATGACTATACCAACTTTAGGGGTATTTTAAGTAACATATGGTGCTCCGACTATGGAGAAACTTATAAACATATAGAAACACAATTAACAGGAAAAGACAAGTGGTATTTCACATCAAATTAAATGAACTATGACCGATTTTCGTTACACTACCCACGCCTCAAAACTCATGCGTCCCGCATGATGTAAATTCTTCACTATCCATTGATACAACCAGTACTACACACATGTTTCAATAAATATTTAGACCTAATTTCTAGAAGCACAACCATATCAGAGTTTTGATTACCACTGGGAAATATATTGCATTAACCAGGTTTGAAGAAATTTAGCCTCTGCAGCGGCAACAAGGCCTACTCTTATCGAAATCTGCAGGAGGGGTCTTTTACATGCACAGGTCGTGGTATTTCCCTGTACATGGGACCTCGGATTTAACGTCCCCATCCGAAGGACACATAATGATAAAACACAAAAACATGGCAGAATTATATGATTTATTTCAGTCATTTCTTTCGACTGAATAAAAATAAACACAAAGTAGCAACACAATCATATAATAATCAAAGTCAAATTAAACTAGTCCATGAAATCACAAATTGTTCGTTATTCACTTAGGAACCTTCTTTTCAACAACCTTCACTTGCTTGCCATCTTTCAGATACTTTGTAATTGTCTTCACATATACAGTCTTCATGTTATCCAAATTACAATTACATTGACAACTGTGAGGCATTTTATCCGATCCCAGAGTCGCTGTATTAATACTGGTTATACCAGGCATTGTCTTTACAAGTTTCTTCTTGAGATCCTGTACTGTAGTTGTTTTCCTTTTCTTTGGTGCAATTATAGGCATGGGATCTGTTTTCTTCCTGAAAATTCTTCCCATGTTCACACTCTCATCTATTTCGTCAACAGGCTTCTTTGGCTGACTAACAATTAGTTCGCTTGGTTTATCAATAAGTCCTATATCATCATCATCCTCATCACTAGAGATATCGTCATAATCTGTAAACAGACTCTTTGAATTGTCCAACTTTACTGTATCTTCAAAATTTCCTCCTTCTTCTGGTTCTGTGGTTATGTTTGTTTTATTTGTGTCAACTGTTTGAGTTGAAGGCTCACCTGAAGATACAGGTTTCTTGTTGTTGTTTTCATCTTTACTTTTATCTCCAGAGATTGGTTTTGTTATTGGTTTTTGCTTTTTAGTTGTCTTATCATCAATCTCACTCTCCACTTCTGCCTCAGTGTCCTCAGATTCATCTTTATCATCCGTACTACAATGGACCTTCTTAAAGTGCCTGGTAAGATTGGTTCTCTTATTTGTGTTATAGGAACATAATTCACAGAAGAGCCTTGAATCTGTGCATTCTATTAAATGTCGGTTTCTGTCTTCCTTATTTCCAAATTCAAGAGGACAGAATGGACATTGAAACTTTTCCTCTAAGACTTGTGTAAAAACAACCTTCCTTGCTGTTTTCTTGGTATTTGGCATGATGTCCTTCTGAAAATACAGCAATAAAAACACACTATTAATCTTTAGAATAAACTATAAAAAACAACACCAACTATATATACAATTTTATGTACATCATAAAAAAAACTAACTTTTATATACACGTAAGATACACCTGGATGCCTATTCAACACAGTAATCCTTCATCCATACTGGTTTACAACGCCTTCTCTTTTCAGGCTCATGACTACTTTCTTCCAAACACTTTGTTCCTGAGTCACTTGTCACAATCTGTTCTTCATTTTGCATGTCCCCCCAACCTTCCGTACTACATACATCGTTAACTGGTTCTCGTTCCTGACCGTTCTCACTTTCTATCGCCTCGTCTCGGAGCCTTTGCATATTCTTCTTGCGGATTCTATCAACATGAATAACCTGCTCCTTTCCTCTATAAGCACAGTTGACTCTGTATGTAACTTCTGTACACCGATTTATTATCTTAAATGGACCTCTCCAAAATGAAGTAAACTTTGGTGATCGTCCACTTTTTCTCACAGGGAAATAAACATACACTTCGTCATCCTTTTCAAACTTTTGCCACGACAGCTTTAAATCGTGATATCTCTTTTGTCGACGCATTGCTGTCTCGGTATTCTTTCGTACTATTGAATGTGCACTTTCCATCCTTTCTTTCATTTTCCAAGCCCACTTATTGGTTGGTACTTCTTTTTGTGCCTGTGGCATCTCGTACATAATATCAAGTGGGGTTGATACTTCTCTACCAAACATCAAGTAGTTCGGCGTATAACCTGTTGTCTCATGTTCGGCACTGCGATATGCCATCATGACATAAGGTAGATATTCGTCCCAGTCATCATGATTGTCGTTCACATATGCACTCAGCATTTTCGCAAGTGTTCCATTGAATTTCTCCACCATCCCGTCGGATTGGGGGTGATATGGCGTTGTTCTTGTTTTCTTTATGTTTAAAACTCTGCACATTTCATAGAACAAGTTGCTTTCGTACTGTCGTCCCTGATCGGAATGAATGTATGCTGGCATTCCAAACCTTGTTATTACTTCTTCTACTATCAGTTTTACGACCGTTTCAGCCTCCATATTTGGCATCGGAAAACTCTCTGTCCATTTTGAGAAATAGTCTGACACAACGAGGATATACTTGTTTCCATTCCTTGTTTCTGGTAATTCTCCAAGTATGTCTGTCGCTATTCTCTCCATTGGAAAACTGCTTTGTACTATTCCCATTGGTGCTCTTTTTGTTGGAATTGGTCGTTTCTTTCTAGAGCAAAAATCACAACCCCTGATGTACAATCTTACATCTGATTGTAATCCAGGCCAGTAAAAGGTAAGTCGTATTTTTTCTAATGTTTTTCTTGTACCCAAATGTCCTGATGTTTTATCATCATGACATCGCTGAAGAACATTTCTTCGTTCTGTAAATGGTAGAACCACTTGTCGTCGATTTTTCTCGTTTTCACTTTCATAATTTCGGATTAGAATTTCGTCTTTTAGTTGCAGATTCTCCCACTGAGACCACAAGCTTCGAACAACAAAACCCTTACCTGATACTTCACTGAACATTGGACGTTTTTGATTTCGTAAACAATTCTTTATGTAAAGGAGATCTTTGTCATTGTTTTGTAATTCTTTGAGATGTGATTGATCATCCTTATATTCGTCTGAGGTGTCCGTTAAAACGCAAACACTGGCTTCATTTTTCTCCTGTGTTTCGTCCCAGTTGGAAAAATAACCACACTGTTTACAGGGTACACGACTTAGAGCATCGGCATTTCGATGTTGCACACCTGGACGATGTACTATTTGTATTTCATACTCACTAAGGACTTCTAACCAGCGAGCTAATTGGCCCTCTGGATTTTTAAACTGCATAAGCCAGCGTAATGAGCCATGGTCTGTCCTTACTACGAATCGCCTACCGTAAAGATAGTGTTTATAATGTTTTACAAAGTTAACAACTGCTAGGAGTTCTTTTCTTGTTACACAGTAACGCCTTTCAACCTTGCTTAATGTTCGGCTAGCATAACCTATTACAACTTCAGATCCTTGATCATTAAGTTGTGATAAAACGGCACCAATTGATTCATTACTTGCGTCTGTATCTAAAATGAAATCCTTTGTGAAATCTGGATGTGCCAGAATCGGGGCTTTTTTCAGGTGGTTTCTCAAAATTTCAAACGATTCCTGGCATTTAACACTCCATATATAGGGTTTTCCCTTTTCTGTAAGGACGTGTAAGCACCTGGCTATACTTGCAAAGTTTTGTATATACCGTCTGTAATAACTGCATAGTCCCAAAAACGAACGTATTTCAGTCACATTGCTTGGGGTTGGCCAGTTTTTCACGACTTCAATTTTTGAGGGATCCGTGGCAATCCCCTTTTCTGAGATGACATGTCCCAAAAATAATACCTCTTTTGCACACAAAGAACATTTCTTGGCTTTAAGCTTAAGACCAGCTGAACCTAGCCTTTCAAATACTCGATCAAGATTAACTAACATGTCACTAAATGTTTTTCCAGCTACGATAACATCGTCTAAGTAAACTAAACAAATGTCCCATTGCAACCCAGCAAGAACTGTTTCCATCAATCTTTCAAATGTACTGGGTGCACAGCATAGACCAAACGGCATAACTCTGAATTGGAACAAGCCTCGTCTTGTAGCGAAAGCTGTTTTGTAACTATCATCAGGATGCATTTCCACTTGCCAGTAGCCTGAACATAAGTCCAGCGTTGAGAACCAGGCACTGCCAGCAAGTTGTTCCAGGGAATCGTCAATACGAGGGAGAGGATATGCATCTTTTACCGTTACGTTATTCAATCTTCGATAATCAACACAGAAGCGATAAGATCCGTCCTTTTTCTTCACTAATACAACACCTGATGCCCAAGGACTATTAGATGGTTCAATGACTCCTTTTTCTAGCATATCGTCAATGTTCTTATCTACTTCTTGTCGTAAATGAACTGGAGCGCGCCTAGGAGGTTCTTTGACTGGTTGTGCATTCCCAGTATTGATTCTATGTTTCACAAGATTAGTGTGGCCTAATTCCTTATCCGATTCAGCAAATAACCCTTCATATTTGCTTATAAGTACTTTTAACTGATTACTTTGTTGTTCGTCTAAATTTTCACAAGCCTTCTCATATAAAGCCTTCAGATCCGAGCGAAGCTCAAATGATTGCTTGTTTTTCAAATCCGTATGTGTGTCCTCACAAACAGATTCAATCTTATGTACTTGTCCAATTGTTGAACCCTGGTACACAACATGCGAATCTTGCTTCATATTCAGTAACCTAACAGGAACACATTCATTAACTTTTACTAAAGTTCTTGCTATCAAGGGTCCATCGTTTTTCGCATTGTTTTCCGATGGTTCAATAACACCCTCAAAGCTATTCAGATTATATCCACCAGGAAAACATACCTTTCCGTTTACAACAACTTCTGAGGATGGAGGAATACTTACTGTTTCTGATGACACAACCCGATAGCATCCTAAGGGTCCCTCAAATATTAATTGTATCTCAGATTCTCCGAGAAAAAGCTTTTCAGACACAACATCCAATACGCATTTGTTTGCCTTAAGAAAATCTAGTCCAAGTATTCCTTCGGCTTTAATATCCGCTACAAGTGCTTCCAACTTGAATGACTCCTTTCCAATTTGAATACTAAAATATCCTTTACCGTACAATGTCAAAAGTCCACCATTGGCTGATGTTATGTTTTGAGATGTTTTATAGAGTTCAACCTTACAATGTTTTGGCAAACTTTCATAAAGTTTAAAGGATACAATAGATAACGTTGCTCCTGTATCAACAAGAAACTTACAAGATCGTTTGTTTAGAATTGTATCAACATACATACCGGCGTCTTCAATGATTGAGACCCTTGATTCAGCATTATGATTTTGACTTCTGTTTGTAAGTAATCTTCTTGTTGTATCCCTTCGTGACGGATTTCTACATTCCGCTCGAAAGTGTCCTAGTTTACCACAATTAAAACACTCTTTATTTCGCTTATTGTTTGTTGCCCATCTCTTATTGTCAAAATTGTTCCCAGAACTTTTCATTTTTTCTAATTCACTTTGCAAGTCTTTTATCATTCCCTCCATTGTTTTCATTGACATCTCTATTTTTTCCATAGCACACGTGTCTGCACGAGAATTAATATCAGTAGTGTCAATGTTTTCACTTTGATTTGTGGACCGCAAATGCCCACGATTCCCCCTATTACTACTTTCAGCCTGATTAAAGGCTTCTAATTCTACTGCTAAGCGAATAGCTTCATCTAAATTAATGGGCCGTGATTGCTTTATTTTTAATCGCATTTCTGAATCAAACAATCCGTCAATAAATTGATCTTTTGCTAATGTTTCGCGCACTTCACGCGGAGCTGTTGGATATGCAAGGTTAGAAAGTCTCCTTACTGCTTGTCCCATTTCAGGCAAAGTTTCAGATGGCTTTTGTTTCCGTTCACGAAATTGAACTCTGTACAACTCTGTTTGACTGGTCGGGGCAAAACGTTCCTCAAGTGCATTAACAAGTGTCACAAAATTACTTCGCACATCTGTTGGTAGATCGCCTAACACTGCTTGCGCTTGGCCTCGAAGTGAAACTGCTAGATAAAGACCCTTCTGGTTTTCGGTCCAATTGTTAACTAATGCAACCATATCAAAATGAGACTTGTAGTCTATCCATGAACTTATCCCGTCGTATGTTGCCGGTTTGCACTTAACACCTTGATTATGGGGTTCACTATTCCGACACTGTTTGTCCCTATCTGTTATCTCATTTTTAGTATTTACATTACGTTCACCCTTTTCGGCACAACTATTGTCACTTTTTACAATTTGTTTACTTGCACTCAGGGGCAACGTATCCTTTTCGGAAAAACTATCACTTTTGCCCGGTAAACTATCAACAAAACGTACTTTCGGTTTTTCAGTCCTAAACACTACCGTATCTCTTGTTAAAACATTCTCCTCACTACTCATATCAACACCACTTGCTACTCCTGAATCTTTTTCACTTTGCGAAATAGTAGACTTAATCTTATCACTTTTAGGCGTTGAATGCATAAAGCTATGTTTTAAACTGCTTTCTAATCTTTCAATTACATTGTTTAACTGTCCAATATCTGAATCAAATTGATTTTGTGCCATTGTATATTATTGAACAGTACTCACCTTATGTAATTTTCTTCAACTTTATCTTTACTTCTTTTAACTCTATCTCTATTTTAACTACAAAAAGGAAAATAACAATTATCTATAAAATATTCACAACTGGATCAATCATATATGTATTTACATTAACGACAATGAAACACATGAAATCCCACCGCTTGCCACCAAATTTGTAACGTGTAACGTGTAACGGGCGATCAATGGATCCGTATCTGAATAAATCAGGATTTCAAGTGTTCAACTCAAATTTGCACCACAACAAGTTGTCCTATTTAAAACAATTAACACACCCTTAAATGAATTCACAATGTCAAATATATACGCTACACAATGCACATAAATTAAATTACAAGGTGAAGTTCCTCATTCACAATGTATAAACACAATGTCTTATAACAGAATATATATACACAATGTCACTATGCAATCACTATGCAACATGTATTAGGCCTGATTATTCACAATGTCACTAATATATCACTATGCAACATGCATCAGACACTTTATAACACAATGTCACCAACAGATTACTATGCAACATGCATCAGATAAATATCACACAAAACGTATGAACACATTAGCACATATATACAACATCTATTAACAATATCCACCAATTTGTAATATCACCTTATGAATGTTTAATTAACCACAATAACACAATGACACAATGACACTTGCACAATGCTTCAATGCACAAGGAATTTATATGAACACAGCTCAACTCACACACACTAATTATCACTATGAATCAGAACGAAATGAATATATTCCAAACTGGTAAGATTAAACACAGTGCACTTTCACTTATACACTTCCACAATATAACAACTTGCAACACCAGCAAGTATACACCTTGTATTCTCACTAATACACTTCCACAATACAACAACTTGCAACACCAGCAAGTATACACCTTGTACTTTCACTGTACAATAACTTATTATATAAGTTCACTTTATAACACAATCACTATTCCAAATATTCACATATAAATCCAAACACTATTTATATCCTTTGGAATCACTAAATTCACTCTACTTACCAGTTAGAATATATAATCCTTGAAGTTTACCCTTCAATGGTCCACATAAAACTGACAGAGTTTCTCTGTCTTGAGCTGGTTTATATACTACCATCTGGATCAGTCCATTATACTTAAAGGGGTGAAAATCATGACTATACCAACTTTAGGGGTATTTTAAGTAACATATGGTGCTCCGACTATGGAGAAACTTATAAACATATAGAAACACAATTAACAGGAAAAGACAAGTGGTATTTCACATCAAATTAAATGAACTATGACCGATTTTCGTTACAGTGTCTCTGAGTCTCTCTAGAAAATTCTTTCGCTATTACGACATTAAATATACCATTTCCTTGCATCACTCTGCAATCTAGCAATTATTTTGTAAAATCTCACATTATTTGAAGTCTTTAAAGTTCAGTAAAAAATATTAGGAATTTTATATCGGAGAGCAGCCAAAATCGCTTACAACTTATAAATGCCCCAACATGTTTACAATTGCATACCAATGTTAACTCAATCTGTCCAGCTGGAGTTGAGATAAGTGCAACAAAATAAGGACGGACGGCAGAACAAGTGATTCCAACATGACCAACCAATTACCATTCAGTGAGTGGGGGTATAATAATCTGCAGTTAAATAATCTTACCTTTTTATTTTTCAGCTGAGGTTAATGCAGATGTTTTTTGGCAGCAACCTCCCATCTTCATCTTTAGATTTTCTTGGCCTTAACATAATCATGTTAATTACCCCCTAGAATTAAACTAAACTAAAACTAATAAAACTAAAAATGCAAAATATATTTACTATGGATACACGAGACTTAATAATCCTGGAGTTAATGTGGGATGTGTTGACCTCTTCTTCGTGCAATTGTTTCCCTTTTGGATTTTTCGTTATCAAGGGCATAATTGCCCCTATGGCATATAGTTGGCATTGTAGGGGAAAAATTCCCGCGACAGACACAGCCTGATTCACAATCTGAAGTATTGTTATTTTGCCACTAATAAATGGTGAATGTGCCTTTAAAACTAACTCCTCAATGATTGAATACATAAACTCAGGAATTATCCATTCAAGGTTTTTTCATAACATCTCTTTTTTCAATTTGAGCGTAAAGGGTCTCATAATCCAAGTGTGCGTTTCTGAAGTTGGTGTCTGATTCTAGCAAAACCTATATAAAAAATGCATACCGCATAGTCAGCTATAAAAGGGCCCAAAATGACAATGTAAAACAATTCAAACTAATGGTCATATTCATGTACAAAAAATGAACGAAAAAAAGTATGTAAAACAAACGACAACCACTAAATAACAGGCTTCTGACTTGGGAGAGGCACATACATACTGAATGTAGCGGGGTTAAACATGTTAGCGGGACTCCAACCTTCCCCTAACCTGGAACAGTGTTGTAACAGTACAAGATAAGAACGAACTTAAAAAATCAATTGAAAAAGGGTAAACCCATCAGATAGATAAAAATAATACCATTACAAATCGACGTGGCCGGATACTTGTACATACATGGTTATTGTAATTTTTAAATGATATCATTTTAATATGTTTTAAACTACCTAGTGTATTTATTGTTAACTTGTTCTCGTCCTGAAGATGCATAAAAATATTAACCGCTGGACGTCCAGCAACCAACATTCAATCAATATTTAAACATGTTTAATCTAATGTCAAATAGAAATGCGCGTGTGGTTCCAGTTTCGTCCTCAAATGTGGCTGTTGGTAGGCTTTAAAAAAAATTGTCATAATCCGGAAACTTTCGGTTTTTCACCGATGCCGTTATTGTACAAGGCCATTACCGGAAGTTTGCCATTTTCTATGTCTGGTTGTCAAATAAACCGACGAGTTAAGTTACATTCTGTTCATTTTGAGTCGTAGCGGATATCTCTAATGGACATCCAGAAGACAAATGTATGCAAATTTAATCATTGAAGTTCTCATTCTACGGTCGGCAATTTTTTACCTGGGTCGATCGGTTGCGTAACTGAAACCACATATATATATTTAATTGGCCAAATGTTATTTACCATTTGTTTCTTCTTTTTGAAGTATTCCAAGGTTGCGAGCTTCTGAGTTTCTATCGCTGCATCTTATGCAATTTTCTGCGTAGACATTAGAAAACAATAACTACAAAATTTTGTCTGCATAAAGGACAAGGTATGATAAGGGGCGTTTTTGGCCCCCTCTCAAAATAAGCTTATATTCATATCATTAATAGCCTTTGTATAGAAACTTGTGAAAACAATGATTTTTTTATGTTCCGGTTAAAGGAAGGTTGCTTAGCAACGGTTTTATTTAATAGCCAAATTATCACTTATGGATTGCATTATCTATACAAATGAGCTCAATTCCAAATGTTATTGTTTGCTTTAGAGGGACCTGAAGTTACGATCGAATGGTCACGTTAATTTTCAGTTTACTAAAATGCTTAGCAACAACCTAACAACAAAATTGTTGCCTAGCAACATATCAAACATTGGTAAGTTTTTCCCTCTGAGGTATTAAATAATAGCAATATTTGTAGATTAAGCATCCATAAATTGTTTTTCAGTCTTATATTATAGTTCAGTCATCTTTTTTTTTTGTCGATGTTCATATTGAGCATAGCAACACAAATATTGCTTAGCAACAGTCAAAAATGAATAAATTGAAGAGAAATATAAAAACAATTCTTTTATTGTACAAGTTACAATAAAAGCAAAACTGATTGGCATATAAGAATAAATAACTGTAAGAAATAAAAGTAATTTTAATTGAAGTTCATGTTTATCAACAACGTTTCAACCAAAATAGTGCATAGCAACGGTTTAATAACGATTCTTTTTTTATCTCAAGTATGAATTTTGCTATTTTTAAAAACTTACTTTCACATATGGAGTACACTATGATATGAATATCTTATTCAATAGTCTTTTTTTATGAAGTCCATATTGTGTATAGCAACACAAATGTTGCTTAGCAACTATCAATCATGTTAAGATTAAAGACAACTAGACTAGTATTTTCATATTATTCTACAAATAAATAGATTGTCCAGTTCTGTACAAGAAGACTAGAAAGAAAGAAATAAAAAGACAGTTCAGTTATAACTTTTTTAGTAACTATCAACAACCTAGCATGTGCATATATATAATTTTCCAACAGAAAATAGTATTATATACATTTAAACAACACAGTTATCATACTGACATCCAGCTAAAGCATATCCAGAAGAGAAGATCGTCATACCAACATTGTTTGCTTTTAGTTTAAATTATAATCATAGTTTGTGTTAATGTATGAATTTAAGAACGTTAATTAAATATAATCGTTTTTTTCATATCAGATTTCATTCATACACTCGCACTTATAAGCATTGATAAGTAACAATTTCATATTAAACAATCTGCAATCACATACAAAATAATTCAAATGGATCTTGTTCATACAATTTTTCATTCTCGTACATACACTTTCACATGAACTTTTATGATTCCATCAACAGTAATTAACCAATATTAACAAATTGAGTAACATTAAAAAGCTTTTAAGTGACACTTATCTTTATAAATATTAGTAAGAATCAAAAATAAAGCATTGACCCTACCGTTTTGTAAACTACATTAAAACACAAAGAGATTAAAAATACTATTGAAAATTGAGTAACAGATCAGGAAGTTTTCTGTATTTGTAACAAAAGCGTGTTGCTAGAATTCAATTTTTTATCTGTTGGTGAACTGTTAACCAATTACAGGGACATTTTAAATACGTAATAGCGAATGCAAAGTTCAGTGTTCTTGGTCAACACTTACTAAATAAAAGAAATAGGCATAAAGAAGGTGAACTCCATGAACTATTTCATTTTTCTCTAAAAAAATATATTGCTAGATTTCTTGAAATTAACACATATGGTCTCGTCTCATTTGCAATCATACCACATCTCTTTATTTTATACAGAATGGGACACTTATGTGTATATGGAAAGATAATTATACATATGTACTTGGAATGAAATATTTTACGAAAACTCTACATTTTAAATTGATTAGATATCTTAAACGTCCTTTTACAGTATGTTAATGTTGTGGCCAATAGTATCAAGGGAAATAGACACAGTTACACGACACACTTGACCAAACACGACAATGTAATGATTTATACAAAGCGACATGTGTATTGTCCAGTGGGTATGTCTGCAACAAAAACATGTGTAAACAAAGCGAAAAATTGAAATAAATACCAAATCAAGTCTTCCACTTCTCACACTCAAACATGTTCCAACGAGACACCGAAAAGATTGGTGGCCATTCTTCAAGTTAGGTTTTAGAAAACAGCCATTACAAGTTAGATAAAATAAATCTCGTGGTTAAAAAGTGCTTTTTTTCAGAAAAATTATATAAATGTGATGACATATGGAATGTGAAAACAGTGACACTTAAATGACCTTCATTCATTTTAGATTATAACAGCAATGTACATCTTACAAATAAACAAGAATAGTTGCGAGGCGTTTGTTCAAGTCATTCTTAGCTACGGTTAAATTCATTATGATTGTAAGTTATTCTTCTATATATGAATCAACACTTTCTACGTCAGACAGGTCGGACTCTTCAGGAACATCTTTAGCATTGAGTATGGAACTCGAAAACTTTCCGGAAGCATTGACAGATTGAGCAGCCCCAATATTCCACCTATGATATCCAAGATACCAAACAACGCTTGCGATGTGGGCACAACACCCAACCATACGTGACCCAACTTTACAAGTACAGTACCAACCAGTGACTTCATTTTCATCGTACTCCAACCACAAATGGTAGCATCTTGAAGATGAATGGCGAGAGTGCATCTTTACTCGCAACAGATCTGGCCTATCCTTGCAAATGAACAATGCATAGTTCTCGTCCTCCTGATGGGCATCCGTGTACCTTTTAGCTGATTTGATTTGGTAAATACCCATTGTAATTTGTCTAAGATGGTCTAGAGATATTCTGGGAAACATATCAAGCTCAGTCGCACCATCAACTTCTTTGTAGACAGTTTTTCTTCTCAAAAGGTTGTGCTCCTCTACATATGTTTTTACATGGTTGTCTAGTTGTGCCTTTTCAATCATTTCTTTACCTATGTCATCATTGCCGAAATCATTTATAAGAGGCGGTCTAAAACAGTTGACAAGTGCACAGACAATTCTTACAAAGTCCCCAATGTGTGGCACGTAGTGGTTGGCAACAACTTTATCCAAAAATTTCCACTGTTTTATTCTACCATTTGCACTTTCCACTACCCAGCGAACTTTAGTCACCAGTCGCGTTCTATTCGCTTCATCAACTGTGTGTTGTTTTGCTCCCTTAGAAAGAAAACAAGGCATCTCAACTTTGAAATTCATTTTTTTCAAAAACTCTTCTGCATCACGGAATCCTCTGTCTACAACCATGACATCATTCTCGTGCATCCATGTGTTAATCTCATCAGCATTAGTCTTAAATGCATGCTTTATGATAGAAGCATCATTGTTATGACCGTCAGCATAATATGGGCCGAGGACATTAAGAATATAACCGTCTGTAGCGACAATCATCATGGGCTTGACTAATGACCTCCCTTTATGCATACTGTATGTCTGCTTTTGAAAATGATGGTGGGAACTTTTCTGTAGGTAAATGTAAGTCCCATCAAGGACAAGAATCCCAGTATCTTGTTGATTATCTGCAAACAAAGTTCTCGCTGTTGGAGTGGTGTGGTCCCTAGTGAACTTGTCGTGGGACATATGTTGAAAGCCAAGAAACGAAGGCACGAATGACTTCATCAAGGATGATCTAGCTGCGTGTGTCGCTCTTTGAATTTGGTGTATTTCCAATGAAAATAATGTAGCTAAAATGGAGTTGGAGAGTCCAGTCCTAAGTTTAACTAAAAGAATGGCCAAACATGTCTTTACAGATCTTATTTCAGATTTTCTTAGGTCAGTTACTGTATTTGCAACAGCTTCGAACTGATTCCTGGTTAAACCAGTCAGTCGCTGGTAGTCCTCCTCTGACAATGAGTGTGAACAATCAAAATTAAGTTTGCCATTTAATGTCAATGTTCCTCGAACCCTGTTTAATAGTTCAGTGATGTCACTTCTATTAAAAAGTATAGTGTTATTTACCTCTGGTATATTTGAAATAGACTCCTGTGTAAAATAGTTTCCCAAAAGATGATTTGGACAGCATCTGCTATTTGCTGGTATAACAATACATTTGTCAATGAAAGCCTGAGTTCGAGCCTCATGCGGTACAACTACCTGTCGATGTCGATTACTGCTATTTTTCTGGCAAACAGTACAACGTCTATGTGATTTAGATGTAGATGAAAGGTTTAACTGTATAGATTTCGGGCTAATTAGTTCTGATGGTAATGTTTCCTCTGCTAAAAAATCTGGATCATCATCATCGTTTGACTGGCAAGTTGCTATACCTTGTCTTATCTGTGGTGAGTTCATCACTGTTTTCATATCTCTGTATACTTGTGCCCTGCATTTCAAGCATATAGTTGCATTCTCAACATTCCTTTTAAGAGTCCTGGCCAGATAATCTCTTAATTTTTCATTTATTATAGTTCTTCTGTTATTCACTGTTAGGTGTGTCTTATTGCAGAGAACACAACTGTAACTTTTTGCCATGGCTAAATGCCTAAATAAAATAAAAATGAAAAAATATATTATACATATATTTGTATGTATTAACTAGTATCCTATATATGTTTATTGCAAATATTTAAGATAAGAAGACAACACAAGTCTGTTTTGAGCACATGTACTCAATTGTCTTGAATTGTCTTGTCTTGTCATGCTAACAGCACCTTGTGCTGTGTCATGACCTTTATGTTATTTGTATCGTCTTGTTTAGTTTATATTGTCTTGTCTTTTGTCTCATGTCTTTTTTCTTGTTTTGTCTCTTGTCTCGTTCACATTGTCTCTTGTCTTGTTTATATTGTCTTCTCTCTTGTATTTTGTCTCGTTCACATTGTCTTGTCTCTTGTCCTGTTTACATTGTTTCTTGTCTTTTGTGTCTTGTATCATGTCTCATTTACATTTCCTTTTGTCTCTTGTCTCATTTACATTGTGTTTTGTCTCTTGTCTCGTTTACATTGTCTAGTCTCTTGTCCCTTGTTTCGATTACAATGTCTTGTCTCTTGTCTCGTTTACATTGTCTAGCCTCTTGTCCCTTGTCTCGATTACATTATCTTCTCTCTTGTCTCGTTTACATTGTCTCTTGTCTTTTGTGTCTTGTATCGCTTACATTGTCTCTTGTCTCATTTACATTGTGTTTTGTCTCTTGGCTCGTTTACATTGTCTGAAGTCTTGTCTCGATTACAATGTTTTGTCTCTTGTCTCGTTTACATTGTGTTGTCTCTTGTCTTGTTTACATTGTCTTTTCTGTTGTCTTTTGTCTATAGTCTCATTTACATTGTCTTTTGTCTCTAGTCTCATTTACATTGTCTTTTGTTTCTTGTCTCGCTAACAATGTCTCTTGTCTCGTTTACATTGTCTTTTGTCTCTTGTCTCTCGTTTACATTGTTTTGTTTCTTGTCTCGTTCACATTGTCTCTTGTCTTGTGTACGTTGTTTTGTATCTTGTCTTGTTCACATTGTCTTGTCTCTTGTCTTGTTTACTTTGTCTCTTGTCTCGTTTACATTGTGTAGCCTCTTGTCCCTTGTCTCGATTACATTATCTTTTCTCTTGTTTCGTTTACATTGTCTCTTGTCTTTTGTGTCTTGTATCGTTTACATTGTCTCTTGTATCGTTCACATTGTCTCTTGTCTCATTAACATTGTCTTGTTTCTTGTCTCGTTTACAATGTTTCTTTTCTTTTCTTGTCTCTTGTCTTGTTTACAATGTCTTTTGTCTCTTTTCTCATTTACATTGTGTTTTGTCTCTTGTCTCGTTTACATTGTCTAGTCTCTTGTCCCTTGTCTCGTTTACATTGTCTCTTGTCTTTTGTGTCTTGTATCATTTACATTGTCTCTTGTTTTTTTTGTCTTGTATCGTTTACATTGTCTCTTGTCTCATTTACATTGTCTTTTGTTTCTTGATTCGTTTACAATGTCTCTTGTCATTTCTTGTCTCTTGTCTTGTTTACATTGTCTCTTGTATCGTTTACATTGTCTTTTGTCTCTTGTCTGTCTCGTTTACATTGTTTTGTCTCTTGTCTCGTTCAAATTGTCTCTTGTCTTGTTTACGTTGTCTTGTCTCTTGTATCTTGTCTAGTTCACATTGTCTTGTCTCTGGTCTCGTTTACATTGTCTCTTGTCTTTTGTCTCTTGTATCTTGTCTCATTAACATTTCCTTTTGTCTGTTGTCTCGCTTACATTGTCTAGTCTCTTGTCCCTTGTCTCGTTTACATTGTCTCTTGTCTTTTGTGTCTTGTATCATTTACATTGTCTCTTGTCTTTTGTGTCTTGTATTGTTTACATTGTGCCTTGTCTCATTTACATTGTCTTTTGTTTCTTGTCTCGTTTACAATGTTTCTTGTCTTTTCTTGTCTCTTGTCTTGTTTACAATGTCTCTTGTCTCTTGTCTCATTTACATTGTGTTTGTCTCTTGTCTCGTTTACATTGTCTAGTCTCTTGTCCCTTGTCTCGTTTACATTGTCTCTTGTCTTTTGTGTCTTGTATCATTTACATTGTCTCTTGTTTTTTGTGTCTTGTATCGTTTACATTGTCTCTTGTCTTTTGTGTCTTGTATCATTTACATTGTCTCTTGTTTTTTGTGTCTTGTATCGTTTACATTGTCTCTTGTCTCATTTACATTGTCTTTTGTTTCTTGTCTCGCTTACAATGTCTCTTGTCTTTTCTTGTCTCTTGTCTTGTTTACAATATATCTTGTCTCGTTTACATTGTCTTTTGTCTCTTGTCTGTCTCGTTTACATTGTTTTGTTTCTTGTCTCGTTCACATTGTCTCTTGTTTACGTTGTCTTGTCTCTTGTATCTTGTCTAGTTCACATTGTCTTGTCTCTTGTCTTATTTACTTTGTCTCTTGTCTCATTTACATTTCCTTTTGTCTCTTGTCTCATTTACATTGTGTTTTGTCTCTTGTCTCGTTTACATTGTGTAGCCTCTTGTCCCTTGTCTCGATTACATTATCTTCTCTCTTGTCTCGTTTACATTGTCTCTTGTCTTTTGTGTCTTGTATCGTTTACATTGTCTCTTGTATCGTTTACATTGTCTCTTGTATCGTTTACATTGTCTCTTGTCTCATTTACATTGTATTTTGTTTCTTGTCTCGTTTACAATGTTTCTTTTCTTTTCTTGTCTCTTGTCTTGTTTACAATGTCTTTTGTCTCTTGTCTCATTTACATTGTGTTTTGTCTCTTGTCTCGTTTACATTGTCTAGCCTCTTGTCCCTTGTCTCGTTTACATTGTCTCTTGTCTTTTGTGTCTTGTATCATTTACATTGCCTCTTGTTTTTTGTGTCTTGTATCGTTTACATTGTCTCTTGTCTCATTTACATTGTCTCTTGTTTCTTGATTCGTTTACAATGTCTCTTGTCATTTCTTGTCTTGTTTACAATGTCTCTTGTCTCGTTTAAATTGTCCTTTGTCTCTTGTCTGTCTCGTTTACATTGTTTTTTTCTCTTGTCTCGTTCACATTGTCTCTTGTCTTGTTTAAGTTGTCTTGTCTCTTGTATCTTGTCAAGTTCACATTGTCTTGTCTCTTGTCTCGTTTACATTGTCTCTTGTCTTTTGTATCTTGTCTCATTAACATTTCCTTTTGTCTCTTGTCTCATTTACATTGTGTTGTGTCTCATTTCTCGTTTACATTGTCTAGTCTGTCCCTTGTCTCGATTACATTGTCTTGTCTCTTGTTTCGTTATCATTATCTTGTCTCGTTTACATTGATCTGTCTTTTGTCTCGTACATTTTGCTTGTCTCTTTTCTCGTTTACATTGTCTTTTGTCTCGTTTACAATGTCTGTTGTCTTTTGTTGAATCTTGTTTCTTGTCTTGTTTACAATGACTTTTGTCTCTTGTCTCGTTTACATTGTATTTTGTCTCTTGTCTCGTTTACATTATTTTGTCTCTTGTCTTTTTCACATTGTTTTTTGCTTGTTTACATTGTCTTGTCTCTTGTATCCTGTCTCGTTCACATTGTCTTTGTCTCTTGTCTCGTTCACATTGTCTTTTGTCTCTCGTTTCGTTATCATTATCTTGTCTCGTTTACATTGAACTGTCTTTTGTCTCGTTTACATTTTGCTTGTCTCTTTTCTCGTTTTCATTGTCTTTTGTCTTTTGTATCGTTTACAATGTCTGTTGTCTTTTCTTGACTCTTGTTTCTTGTCTTGTTTACAATGTCTTTTGTCTCTTGTCTCGTTTACATTGTCTTTTGTCTCTTGTCTCGTTTACATTATTTTGTCTCTTGTCTTGTTCACATTCTCTTGTCTCGTTTACGTTGTCTTGTCTCTTGTATCTTGTCTCGTTCACATTGTCTTGTCTCTATTGTATCGTGTCTCGTTTACATTGTCTCTTGCATCTTGTCTCGTTTACATTTCCTTTTGTCTCCTGTCTCATTTACATTGTGTTTTGTCTCTTGACTCGTTTACATTGTCAAGTCTCTTGTCTCGTTTACATTATCTTGTCACTTGTCTCGTTATCATTATCTTGTCTCGTTTACATTGACCTGTCTCTTGTCTCGTGTACATTTTGATTGTCGCTTGTCTCGTTTACATTGTCTTGTCTCTTGTCTCGTTTACATTTTGATTGTTTCTTGTCTCGTTTACATTGTCTTGTCTCTTGTCTTGTTTACATTGTCTTGTCTCTTTTCTTTTGTCTCGTCTCGTCTTGTCTTGCTTAGAGGCCCTTGTGCTGTGTCATGACCTTTATGTTATTTGTCATGTCTTGATTTTTGTCTTGTCTTGTATTTTACTATCTTGCCTAGTCATCATATCTTGTTTTCTGTTGTTTCTATCTTGTCTTGTAACTGTTTTTCAATGTAATCTTATTTACTGTTTTTTGGCCTATCTGACTTTAGTGTTCATGTCTTTCTTGTTTCTTTTTGTTTTGTATTATATTGTTGAATGTCCTGTAAATTTTTGAAACTAATGCACAAATAACTACTGTGAATGTTAACGGAAGAGGAACATTTTTTAAACTTGACAAATTGTGTTCTATTTTCATTTTACTCTTTGGCAATTTCCAATTCAGGGTTTGTAAGAATGAATGCGAACTATATATAGGCCTAGTTACCGTTATAAACGTATGCCACATGCCGGGGCAATGTATATATTTTACAGAAAAAGGATTACCATATAACTGTTTTGTTATAGATTCGGCCGTGAGTTTTCTCAATTGACTTGTTAAATTTTTTCATGTCTGGGCCTTGTATAGCCAACTATGTGGAACGGTTTTTCTCATTGCTAAAGGCTCCACTGCTTCATAAAATTGTTTACATCTATTTCATTAGAACTTTGGTGGATAGTTGTCTAGTTGGGAATCATACCACCACTCCTTATTTCATATATGCACAACGAAACTATCTTGGTTTCTTCGAACACTTAAATAGTTGTGTGGTCAGATTGGGAGTATATATTTCTGTATTTTGTATTTATTCTTATAAATTACCTATTTTATGAATCCATTATAACATGTATCTATTCTGTTTATCATAACCATCTTGCTGGAATTTCGAAAGTGCTGCAAAATGTAAAAAAATAATCCATATATATTTGATGATAAATCTTAAAAGATTTGCAAATAAACAAATACTGGAACGTATTAAGTCCGTCAGAGTTTCACCTTTGGTTGATACTTCAAAGACCATGTTTCAAAAACTACTTTCGTAGCAAGGTAAGCACTTTTTTGATTTTCTGATAAAGATTTATGCGCGATACACATGCATGCCATTGGGATGCTTGGTTTCCTAGAAAATTTGAAATTGAGAAAAGTTCCAGAACTGTTAGATTAAAAGTACATGTGTATAATGGATAACAAAGAAAGATAAGACACAATAATTTAGAAAAAAGTATATACAACTATACAATACATTTTACATGAACATTTATAATCGATCTTGGCGTATTAAATAAGTTTAACGTAATGGCATAATATGACGTCGTACAAATAAAAACTTTTAAGCTAAACAATACTCCGTTACTTGTATGCTTCATATTAGGATATTCCCCTGAAATGGAGACTATAAAGTAAGTGTTGTTTCAATGTATTTGTATTAGGGTTGGGGGTTGGGGTTGGGGGGGGGGGGGGGGGGGGGTTTGGGGTTGGGAGGAGGTGGTTCATTATATATTCTTCATATAGTTTTTAAATCAAAACAATCATAGCTTCTTTTTTTTATTCATAAGTTCATATTTCACTTCACAAAAATGAAAATATATTGATTAAGATTCGATTACGGTGAATTGTTTTTATAGAAACCATATACTGAATATGAAAAATATCATTGACTTATTTTAGTTGTTTGGGACTGTAGACTCTCTTATTTTCACGAGAACTGCGAACAACAGAAAAGATAATCACTATTAGTGTTTTGCATTGCCTGTGTAAAGTGGTATCTTTTAAACAAAATTTAGCAAAGAATCATATGGCCAGATTGCACAGTAGACATTTTTTTTAATTACAAATGAAAGGGGAAAAAGATTCTGCTTAAACTTTTAGCCGGGCCTTTTTTTCTGTGTGAGTATGCACCATTTGAATACTGGTACATTGTTATGTTAGTGTACGGAAGTCATCGTTTATGAATATTGCAGTACATCCGAAGAGTTGTAAATGTGTTGTAACAGAAGTGGTTCGGATAGATATATTTTGGAAAGAATGAGCACTGATATAAAATAAGCAGATATTGTATGATTTACCTAAATATCTTCTATCGGATATAACTAGTTATACATTTTGTTCTGGTATACTCTTCTTTGGGTTTTGTAGTGTGTTTTGTTGGCAATATCAACAGGAGCTAAAAGAAAAGAAATGCTAAATAAACAACAAACTTTTATTTTATGAATACAGCTTATCAAGTTCAACAATTGTGAAAGAGTGCTTAACAATCTAAATTAACTGGAGAATGTGTCCATGGGACATGATGCCCCTCCCACTCTGCATATAATTATATAAAGAGAACGGTAAAAGTGACACCACCCAAATTCGAACTTGGTCTGTGTTTTGTGGTAATAAGCATTGTGTATCAGTTTCATACCATTTGGCTGAGACAAACTAAAGTTAGAGAACGAAAACCAATTTTGTGACGGACGGACGTACAGACGGACAAGGCTAACACTTAATGCCCCCTCCGGTTACGGTATGGGCATAAAATGTATTAAATGTAAATAGGGTGTCAATATGTAAATTACATTATGGATGAGTATTAATATTAGCTTGCTTTCAGTAACTGAACTCTATATCTTGAAGGAATTATATTGTTTACTGAGTCTTTTAATGTTGTTTACCATTGGTTAGAGTACAGTGTTTTACCAGTACCTATTTATATGCATGTTTTTTTTTAAAGAAACGTTTTGTAAGTAAAGTAATTAACACACGAAAGGGAGAGGTTGAAATCTAAGTGTTATCACTCCTGCATATGCATGTTCCAAGTAAGACCTCTTTTGGTGATAAGCTTTTGTGATACTGATAATTTCATAATCTTTTATTTTTTATTGTGTTCTTTCTTTCTTTTTTTTGTGAATTTTGTCATGACCGCAGATCTTTTCAGTGTTTTTGTAGATATAGTTTCTTTTGTTTTGCTATTGAGTTGAGTTTCACATGTAGTATACACATTTAAAAAAAAAAAACTGATAGTGCAGATTTTAAATCGGTCAGAGCATGCATTTTGATGACATTGAGTACAGTGGGCTCTACTGAAAGACTTCTGCTATCTGATTACCCCTGTATAACTATAACTTGGATATTTATCAACCTTTACTCCCAATGAGGGTCTCGAACTGGGCGGCCCACGATTAGTTTTACTTTGATGGCTTGTAGATTGAATACTCTTTTAATAGAAGTCTATGCGACTTCGTACAAGTGAGAGGTTTAGTTAGCCAGGTTTATTTCATCATTTTCTACAGAGGAGAGTCATCAGATATTTGATTGAATTAGCCATTTGATATAAAAAAAAAACCCTCTTAATAAATTGATAAATGACTTCTTGTACATGTTTTCCCTTTGTATTGAATGATGTGGATAGCTAGTGACGACCTGGATTACCCATGGAGTTTACATTTATTTATTTGTTGTATAGTGTTTAACTTATTTCCTAGATTGCTTCTGTTGGTGTTTAACGACTTTGAATGGCTGGTAAGCCATCGCACGTTCGGCAATCTGATAAAATACTTATGGACAGTTCTTTTATTATATATCCCTCTACATCTCGTTCTCTGTACTTGGTACAATATAAAATTTCCAAATGCAAAATATATTGATGCAAATGAACAATTTACTTCAAAGTTATAAAAAAGAAATCTTTTTATAAAAACCTTATTCTAAATTATACTTCAAAGGTATTTTTGAATATTTGAAAAACTTATAAGCTGAAAATTAATTCACCAATTTTCAGGGGACATCACTCTTTTATTATGTAAACAAAGCTACGTCGTCTGCACTGCGGTGGACTTTTATTGCCTGTGTTTAATTACACGTCTAACATATAATCTTTATGAGAGTAATATGTGTTGTGGAAATACGTTATAGCTATGAGTGCCTGATATTTTGATCAATTATTAACCCCCGGAATATATTTAATTTGGCACCCTCCCCCTACAGACTACATGCAGTCACAAGAAATTCTATCAAGAAATATCTTCAATCTGGCAAAATATAATTTGAATAATAATATATGATTAAAAGTTTATTCCCAGTAATTGAGGCAATGATACATGTTATTTGTATCCAATATGCGATCGTTTATTGTTGTCAATGCTGATTCCGAATCCAATGCCTGATCACTGGCCCGGCTTGTAAATAAAAATACACTTGCATTCATAATTGCTTATTGCAAACATGCAGATTACCAGTATTTTTTTTTGATTTTCCTGCAATTAAGTTTTGGGTTGGAAATTTGTTGCTTACCCGTATTTTCTTTGGAGTGATTGGCAACCTTGGTTGTCCGTCTGCATCTAAAGCTACCGGAATAGTCCCGGAACCGGACCGTTTCATTGGCGTATTATATCGACTTGTCAAAATTGTAAACAATCGGATATTTATTTTTTTCAATTTAAAATATGAGCGCCAACGTAGACCACCATGATATTTTATAAAATGAAAGATATATCAGAGAAGAGTAGCTGGTTGAACATTTCAGGATGGTCTACGTTGGCGCTGATGTCGAATATCTTCTCCAAACGTTACAAAACTTGTAGATTTTACACACTTTGCGTCGTTCATGACCTTTTAAGGTCTCTTTATGCAGAATTTGAGTACATAATTCAACAAAATAAGATTCTACGTTGACGAACAGATACTTCAGGTCATTTTACAAGCAGGATGGGATTCAACATAAAATTTTCTCAAATCGGGAAAAAGGGGGGCCAAATATGCCCCTTATCATACCTTGTCCTTTAGGTTGCCAGCATGTCCTTCTTTTATTCAATATATTGATAAGTAACAAAATTTCAGTAGTTTTGATACCTTAGGCTGACTTGTGCAACAAAATTATTTGACTGCATCAACCAAAACTGAGGGGCCTCGGTGGCCGAGTGGTCTAAGTAGTTACTACTGTGATCACTAGCCAGTCAACATTGAGGTTGTGAGTTCGAACCCCGCTCGTGCGGGTGCACTCGACTCCAATCTTAATTGACTAGGATTGTCAGTTTTCCTATCGAAGGTCGGTGGTTTTCTCCGGGCACTCCGGCTTCCTCCACCAATAAAAACTGGCCGCCACGAAATAGCCCAAAAGCGGTGCTTAAAAGTGGCGTTTAAACAACAAAAATCAAATCAAATCAACCAAAACTGACCATATTTGCACTTTATTTTGTAAATCTATATAGCCGCATAGTAAATCAGCCATATTTTTTTATGTCAGGATTCAATGTATAATACAAATGACAGCAATATTAGAATACAATAACTACAAACTTTTATCCGCATAAATTTAGGGTGCCAGCATCTCCTCCTTTTATTCAATATATTGATACGTAACAAAATTTCAGTAGTTTTGATACCTCAGGCTGACTTGTACAACAAAATGAGTTGATCACATCAACCTAAACTGACCATATTTTTTCTTTATTATGTAAATCTTTATACCCACACAGTAAATCAGCCATATTTTTTATGCCAGGATTCAATGTATAATACAAATGACAGCAATATTGGAATACAATAACTACAAAATTTTGTCCGCATAAATTTAGGTTGACAGCATGTCCTTCTTTTATTCAATATATTGATACGTCACAAAATTTCAGTAGTTTTGATACCTTAGGCTGACTTGTGGAACAAAATTATTTGACTGCATCAACCAAAACTGACCATATTTGCACTTTATTTTGTAAATCTATATAGCCGCATAGTAAATCGAACATATTTTTTTATGCCAGGATTCAATGTATAATACAAATGACAGCAATACTGGAATACAATAACTACAAAATTGAGTCCGCATCAATTTAGGGTGCCAGCATGTCCTCATTTTATTCAATATATTGATACGTAACAAAATTTCAGTAGTTTTGATACCTCAGGCTGATTTGTACAACAAAATTAGTTGATCACATAAGCCTAAACTGACCATATTTTCTCTTTATTATGTAAATCTATATACCCACACAGTAAATCAGCCATATATCTTATGTCAGGATTCAATGTATAATACAAATGACAGCAATATTGGAATACAATAACTACAAAATTTTGTCTGCATAAATTTAGGTTGCCAGCATGTCCTTCTTTTATTCAATATATTGATAAGTAACAAAATTTCAGTAGTTTTGATACCTTAGGCTGACTTGTGCAACAAAATTATTTGACTGCATCAACCAAAACTGAGGGGCCTCGGTGGCCGAGTGGTCTAAGTAGTTACTACTGTGATCACTAGCCAGTCAACACTGAGGTTGTGAGTTCGAACCCCGCTCGTGAGGGTGCACTCGACTCCAATCTTAATTGACTAGGATTGTCAGTTTTCGTATCGAAGGTCGGTGGTTTTCTCCGGCTTCCTCCACCAATAAAAACTGGCCGCCACGAAATAGCCCAAAAGCGGTGCTTAAAAGTGGCGTTTAAACAACAAAAATCAAATCAAATCAACCAAAACTGACCATATTTGCACTTTATTTTGTAAATCTATATAGCCGCATAGTAAATCAGCCATATTTTTTTATGTCAGGATTCAATGTATAATACAAATGACAGCAATATTAGAATACAATAACTACAAACTTTTATCCGCATAAATTTAGGGTGCCAGCATCTCCTCCTTTTATTCAATATATTGATACGTAACAAAATTTCAGTAGTTTTGATACCTCAGGCTGACTTGTACAACAAAATGAGTTGATCACATCAACCTAAACTGACCATATTTTTTCTTTATTATGTAAATCTTTATACCCACACAGTAAATCAGCCATATTTTTTATGCCAGGATTCAATGTATAATACAAATGACAGCAATATTGGAATACAATAACTACAAAATTTTGTCCGCATAAATTTAGGTTGACAGCATGTCCTTCTTTTATTCAATATATTGATACGTCACAAAATTTCAGTAGTTTTGATACCTTAGGCTGACTTGTGGAACAAAATTATTTGACTGCATCAACCAAAACTGACCATATTTGCACTTTATTTTGTAAATCTATATAGCCGCATAGTAAATCGAACATATTTTTTTATGCCAGGATTCAATGTATAATACAAATGACAGCAATACTGGAATACAATAACTACAAAATTGAGTCCGCATCAATTTAGGGTGCCAGCATGTCCTCATTTTATTCAATATATTGATACGTAACAAAATTTCAGTAGTTTTGATACCTCAGGCTGATTTGTACAACAAAATTAGTTGATCACATAAGCCTAAACTGACCATATTTTCTCTTTATTATGTAAATCTATATACCCACACAGTAAATCAGCCATATATCTTATGTCAGGATTCAATGTATAATACAAATGACAGCAATATTGGAATACAATAACTACAAAATTTTGTCTGCATAAATTTAGGTTGCCAGCATGTCCTTCTTTTATTCAATATATTGATAAGTAACAAAATTTCAGTAGTTTTGATACCTTAGGCTGACTTGTGCAACAAAATTATTTGACTGCATCAACCAAAACTGAGGGGCCTCGGTGGCCGAGTGGTCTAAGTAGTTACTACTGTGATCACTAGCCAGTCAACACTGAGGTTGTGAGTTCGAACCCCGCTCGTGCGGGTGCACTCGACTCCAATCTTAATTGACTAGGATTGTCAGTTTTCGTATCGAAGGTCGGTGGTTTTCTCCGGGCACTCCGGCTTCCTCCACCAATAAAAACTGGCCGCCACGAAATAGCCCAAAAGCGGTGCTTAAAAGTGGCGTTTAAACAACAAAAATCAAATCAAATCAACCAAAACTGACCATATTTGCACTTTATTTTGTAAATCTATATAGCCGCATAGTAAATCAGCCATATTTTTTTATGTCAGGATTCAATGTATAATACAAATGACAGCAATATTAGAATACAATAACTACAAACTTTTATCCGCATAAATTTAGGGTGCCAGCATGTCCTCCTTTTATTCAATATATTGATACGTAACAAAATTTCAGTAGTTTTGATACCTCAGGCTGACTTGTACAACAAAATGAGTTGATCACATCAACCTAAACTGACCATATTTTTTCTTTATTATGTAAATCTTTATACCCACACAGTAAATCAGCCATATTTTTTATGCCAGGTTTCAATGTATAATACAAATGACAGCAATATTGGAATACAATAACTACAAAATTTTGTCCGCATAAATTTAGGTTGACAGCATGTCCTTCTTTTATTCAATATATTGATACGTCACAAAATTTCAGTAGTTTTGATACCTTAGGCTGACTTGTGGAACAAAATAATTTGACTGCATCAACCAAAACTGACCATATTTGCACTTTATTTTGTAAATCTATATAGCCGCATAGTAAATCGAACATATTTTTTTATGCCAGGATTCAATGTATAATACAAATGACAGCAATACTGGAATACAATAACTACAA